CGGGTGCGGTACTAGTACCTGATTTTGCCCAAATTTAGGGAGAGGAGTACCCGGGTACCGCTTGTACCAGGGTCCAGAATGACTATCTCTAAATCCACTTTCATTCTAGTCTCATTTCCACTTTGGGCCCATATTTATACTGTTTCACACTATTCTACTTGGGTTATTCTCATGTCTCACACTAGTACACATCTGGCTAGTTCATTTACTTCTTTGGTATATTCTTCCTCCCCCATTGGTTGTGGCACATTTTATCCCTGCATGTCTCTGATGTCATTTTCCCCATTTATCTTAGTGTTGATCAATTGGGCCACATTGTTTCAGTTTGATAATTTTCACTTTCCATTTGGTTCCATCCCCCTTCCACCCACAAGCTGGCCCCTACCCAGAATCTTGTATATAAGGAGCCTTGTTTTCACTCTTCATTTGTTCCTCATCAGATCCTGCCCCAGTAAGCCAGATAACTGATCACCCATTATTATCCAGGTATATGCTCATCAACATTTGGGATACCTTGATTTGTGAACAAGTACATTTTGACCAGTAGACATAAGACATATTATACATGCCTTACTCAAGAAATCTCCATAGCCACACCTATTCTTTGAGAGTACATACTCTTGTTCTTTTCTCGTTCCCTTACTCATCCTAGCTCTCAGAGAGGCAGCCCATTAAAGCACTACTTCCTCTCAAGCTTGATTCATCCCATGTTAGGGGTGTTCTGGGGAGAGCAGGTAAGGATCTTCTGGGTTTTGGTTCTTGATGGTAGATTGCAAGATGAGGGATGTACAAGGTGTGAATCTCAAACAAAATCCAAGTTTGAAGTTTGTGACATGTATGTAACAGACTATGTACATATGTAGCATCCCCACTTGCAGTCCTCTACAGCTCATAACATCACAAAAAGTAGTTCCACAACGTCCTGACAACTGTCTGAAACAATGGGCCTCCTATGCTAATGGTAGCGCTAGAACAGAGTAACATAGCGCAATTCCAGCAACATTTAGCATAGCCCAGTGGAATTCCGAAGAAAGGGCCCACTATGCTGCGCTACAGCACTTTTTAGCGGGTTTTGGGCTGTTTTTGCCATTAAGAGTGCTGTATTGTAGTGGCACTAAACGTGCACTAACACTACAGGTTTGGTACCCTTTTTTGAGGGCCACTAAGCTAACAACAGTGGTTCGTTTAGCATGGCAGCCCATTGTTGCTATCTGCAGATGGTCCTAAGCATGCCTGCCATCCTTATTTTTTTCCCCGGTGTGGTAGTCAAAAATGGGAATATTCAAAGTTTTTTCTTTTCTTTTCTTATATATATAGGGTCTTAGTTAAACGACTCCCAAATATTGGAGTTCCGACTCCCAAACATTTGGGATGTCACTAAGACCCCCTGCGGACGGTCCGCAGGCCGTCCACCCCCAGAGATGGGAGTCGGACCTCCCAAACCTTCAACAGGTTTGGGAGTCGATCCTCCCAAGAAAAAATAAAATTAAAAAATGAAAAAAATGGAAAACCCCGGGGGTTTTTGGGAGTCGATCGTCAAAAACCCCCAGGGAGGTTGGGAGTCGGCGCCAGACTCGACTCTCAGCGGCGGTATACTCTCATTGACCAAGAGGGATTCTGTAAGGACTAGGAATGTCCTTCACTGAGTAAGCCGGGGAAAATGCTGATGGGACGGGCTAATGAGCCTAAGTGGATTCTAAGACCAAACACGGGGGGGATTTGATTTCTGACTCAGAGAGATGGAAGGGAAGATCTCTCAGTACAATCTAGAAAAGAAGAAAACAAGAAGGAAAGAAAATGAAAAAGAGAATGAAACTCACCTGACTCAGAGAGATGGAAGGGAAGATCTCTGCAGAGCCAGGAAGGGGAACTCAACAATGAAGACTACAAGTGGGGTGTGACATCTGAGTGAAGGGTTTGTGAACCAAGCCGGAGGGGGGGTTTACAGTCTCCCCTTCTATAAAAAAAAATTGAAGAAAGAGAAAAGGAAATAAAATAAAATAGCACACAAAAAAAAAATTCATATAAGAAGTGGGAAGAAAAGGAAGAGAGAGAGAAGGAAAAAAAAATAATGATAAGGAGGCGGAATTTTCGAGTCAAGCGCGTCCCGGGTGGCCGGCGATGGCATCTGCTAGGTCAGCTTTTTCGGCCTTCGCGATCTCGTTCGTGAGAAGTTGACTGTCGAGATCCTCGAGTGCCGCCACGGCGGCCGGTTCTAGACTGGGGAAACAGCCCTCATCGTCAAAGTAAGTGTCCCAACGATTATCTTCTCGTATCGCTGCGTCAAGTGTTAGCGCGGAAACCTGAGCCTCAAGGGGTGTAGTATCCGTAACACCCGCAACGCTCGCAGCGCGAGTTGAAGGACGTCCCGCCGGAGGTTGTGTGGGCTTTCCTGGTGTAGTAGTCGGCCTACTCCAGGCTCGTGGGGCAACATAGTTGGCCGGTTTTTCTGGGGTTGCAAAACCCGATGGGATGTCGATGCGGGATCGGTCAATCGGTCCAGGACAGGCGCCAGCCGCGTTGCCACAATGCTTCTTACAGAAGTGGCACAAACCCAGTGAATCCAGGTACGAGTGTACTCGCCAGACGAACTCGTCGCGGGCAAGGTTTGATGGTGCGTTCGGGGTTGATCTAGTCGGGGCAGGGGGGACGGTGGGGCGATGTAACGCTAGGAAGGAAGCGCTTGCTTGTTTTTCAAAAGTGCCGTACGCGAACGGGACAACCTCTAATAGCTGGCGTTCGTTAATCCGGTCTTGAAGAGCGTCCGGTAGGCCATAGACCAAGAATTGGGCCAGCTGTAGGTCTCCAAGCTTGGATGTCTCGTTGGCGTCGAAGTTGAATAGGCTTTGTACCGTGCGAGCCCGGGTACTGTACTCCAGGAAGGTTTCGTCTTGCGACATTTCGAGTTTACGGACCTGTCGTTGTAGGCCCGAACGCCAGTTTGTGGGGAGAGCGAAATCGAACATCCGTATTTTGAAGTCATTCCAGGACTTTGTCAGGAACCCGGATGCCTCGTTGGCGTAGAAGGACTGGAGATTGGTCTCCGCAATGAGATTACCAAGGATCTTGATTCTGTCGGCCGAATTACTGACGTCTTTAGTGTCGAAAAAGATTTGCACACCGTGAATCCAGCGTAAGAACGGCTCGACCTCCTGAAACGGTCCGCGGTAGACCGGGCCATCCGACGTGCGAAATTTCTGTAGGTCAACCCGACCTGGACTCGGCTGTACTGGCCGAGCATCCGCCTCATTCTTAACATTCATCGCTAGTATAAGTTCCTCTAATCGGCTGATGCGGGCGGCGTTGGCTTGGTGAGCAGACATAAGAATTTGTCGGTCGGTACGACGATCTTCAATGGCTTGTCGACGGTCTTCGGCCGCTTGTCGACGGTCAGTCTGTGCTTCCATAATGGCCGCGTGTTGTAGCTTAAAGACCGATTTGAACCAGTCTTTAGCTGTCTGCATGTCAGAGGCGTCCGCTGTGCGAGTCGATCCGGACGTTTCGTGGGCTGGGGTCGTTTCGTCCGACATCGCGGTGGGAGGTGTAGACTCGGAAAGAAGTGGGATTGGAGCAGTTGGGTTAGATTTAAGTTGTTTCAGACGGCGTTGTTCGGCGTTACCAGATCGGATAATGGCCTCGGGGTCCGTTAAAGGTATCAATTCGTCGGGGTCGGTGTTGCTTCTTGTAGTCATAAACTAACACCCGTGAGTAGTTGAGGGAAGCAAGAAAAAAAGGAATAGAATGTTGAGGAGGTAGTGGCCCGAGAAAAAGGCCGTCGAGTCGTAGATAGTGGTTTTGAAAAGGGGGACAGTCGAGTCGCCAAAGCAGCAAGGTCAGTCGAGTACAGTCAAGTCGATTCAGTCAAGTCGATTCAGTCAGTTCGGTCAAGTCAATTCAGGTAGTCAGTCGGAAGAAGGTTGATGTGATTGGTTTGGTGTGAGAAAAAAAAAGTGTAAGGACTAGGAATGTCCTTCACTGAGTAAGCCGGGGAAAATGCTGATGGGACGGGCTAATGAGCCTAAGTGGATTCTAAGACCAAACACGGGGGGGATTTGATTTCTGACTCAGAGAGATGGAAGGGAAGATCTCTCAGTACAATCTAGAAAAGAAGAAAACAAGAAGGAAAGAAAATGAAAAAGAGAA